CTCAGCTTACTGGGCAGGCCACTGAACCACATGGCCTAGCCAGCTGCTTGGTTGCCTGGCTGCAGCCCAGCTTGCCTGAAATGCAAATTCACTTCCAGGCCCATCTGCCCAAACCAGCAATTCTGCTACCTAGCCCACGCTGGCCTGCCACACTAATCTCCCAAAATGCCAACCTTCAACTTGGTGAACAACATAATAAAAAGGAAGGACTTGACATACTCCCACACTTATTTAACATCTCAAGAAGAAACTAAAATAAAATCAGTTGGGCACAGACAGCAAATACATATTTTTACTGACTATTTTTCAACCTAGGGGAAACAAAATCAGAGAGAAAATACAAGAAGTGAAAGATCACTTAATAATAAACAATAATGTACTAATGATGCCTATTGGTATAAATAAAGTCAGCAGCTTGGGTGAGCACTCATTTTGCCCTTGCCTCTGTCTACTTTTGATTTCTTCATAGCTGGCACCTGAAACAGGGACTCTTCTAGACATGCTGATGGGGAAAGGGAGTACCTTACTGTCTGGAACAGGCTTTGATGTGCGTCTTTCATTGGCTAGCAATACCCATTGGTAAGCTATGGGAAATTCCCTGTTTAACATTCAACGTCATCATCAGGCTGAGCTATCCTATTCACTTTGCAAGCGTAGACATACTGTAAGTAATTCTCACATTGATCCTTTGCAGGCAGAGCTAGACTCTTATTGCCCCTGGTACATAGAAAGTTTTGCTTTATATTCAAAAAATTGTGAAGATATAGGTAAGAAGCTTCATGTGGAGCCATGAGCTCCTGTGCTTGTGCTGCATGCTTGGTTTCTTTGTTGTGATGCTATTTCTAAGTTCTCTATCTCTCAGCAAATGACTCCCTCCCTTAGCAACAGCTGCTGCAGAGTCCTTGATGGAAATGTTCCCCCTGCCTTCATAGCCACCTTCCCCTCCATTGCCGCCTCCCCAGTTAAATCTCTTTTGGCTGAGTGTTTATGCGGAAAAGAAGGGAGATACGCGCATATTTTGGCTTTTTGCCCTATTAAGCTAAATTCCGCTGGTCAACCAGAGCATGAGTAGTTACCTTTTGCTGTATTTAAAGAATTATAAGCTACCCACCCAGGGCAAAAGGAGGGGGAATCCGTTTTTCCAGCCCCCTCAAGATTGGATGGCACAAATATTTCCAGTTCAAACAAAACATTCCTCCAGAAATCCTTTCCCACCACTAGAGGGAGCTCTAACATAAATTTAATTACTACTCAGATGCCCAAATGCAGCTTCCTGGGAGGTATATAAAATTGCTACTTAAATTTAGGGGCCTTTACCTAAAAATACTTTGGATTAATTTTGCCTTGTTCTCATATTGCTAAAGAGGGGAAATTTGTGGTTCCCGGGGTAATTGATTCTGATTATATTGGCACACTATATGTCCAAATGTGGTCCCATATTCCCTTAAGCCTACCTAAATGATCCTCTATTGCTCAACTGATTGTGATTCCCTATGTTTCAGCTCAACAACATTTAAATAAAAGGGGGAGATGCAGGGTTTGGCTCTATTGTCATTGGAGCTTGCTTACCAATTACTGAAAATAGACTAAATTGACTCTTTGTTTAAACAAGCAGCCAATTACAGGATTATTGGACACCTTTGCTGATGTTACCCTTATTCCCCTTTCAGTATGGCCTCATTCATGGCCCATTCAAAGGCCTACCCTGGTTTGGGGCATAGGAGGCAACAATGAACAGGTGTCCAAGAGCTCCCTGTGGCTGCAATGCTCTGCACCTTCCAATCAACAACAAAATATTACTCATGTTCAGCTACATGTTATGGCAATACCTTTATCCATATGGGGAGGAGAAATTTTACATAAACCCCAGATGTCTGTGGAATTCCCTTTTTTTTGTAGGGGCCTCTGTATATCTGACTGGCTTGCCACTAAAGTAAAAAGTCACCACCCCTGTCTAGGTTGAATAATGACCATTGTCAAAGGAAAAGGTGGCAACTGCAGAGGCCCTTATTCCAGAACAGCTACAATTAGGAGATGTTGAACCTTAGACCATTTCTCTTCTAGATGGGTTGACCATGTATACAGATGGAGGTAAGCAGAGAGGGGTAATATCTGTTTTTATTAATGGTAAATGGACTGACTATTATACCCTGCCTCAAATCTTTCCACAGGGATCTGAATTAGCTGGCACTAAGGTTATTTTCTACTATTTTAAACATTATTACAAATTCTTAATATATAGCTAACTTGTTGCTTATATTTCTGTAGCTGTGTTATCCCTACATTTGCATTCCAATTTACTATCTCTTTCTTTAATCCTTCAAACTTTTTTACAGCATTGCGTGTACCCTAATTTTAATGTTTATATACACAGCCACACAGAGGCCCTGAACCTCTAATGAAAGGCAAAGCTCATGCAGATGCAACTGTGAGATCCCTTTATCCTTTATTTTCAGACGCTGTAGAAGCTCATGGATTTTTTCATCAAAACACTCACTCACTAATAAAAATGTTTTCCATTTATTCTCAACAGGCTCATGCCACTGTCAATAACTATTCTCAATGTACATCTTTCCAGGCCCCTATGTGTCAATTTGTAAACACATGGGGTCTACATTCTAATAATGCACTTTGGCAAATGAATGTTACTCATTTTCCTCCTTCTATCTTCACTCCATTCTCATGTTTCCATTGCTACTCATTCTGGGTGTATTTGGGCTAGTGCCCATAGTTCTGAAAAGGTATCTGATTGAACTTCTCATTTATTACTCTACTTTGCCATTATGGGCAAGCCTGCTGGTTTAAAAATGTACATGCTTCTGCATATACATCCCATGTTTTTGCATGATTTTCTACTTAATGGAATATAATTTTAATGCATGGAATTCCTCATAATACTACCAGACCAGACTTTGTTGAAAAAACACATTGTACCTTTAAGACATGCCTCATAAAATAAAAACAAGGAAGAGGACCTAGCCTCTCTCATGTTAAATGCCTTAAATATTACTTTATTTACAGTTAATGCACTCAACATAAATTACGAAGAGAAGACTCACAATTGGTCATCTGACTTGGATAGACATTTTATTCCCAAACAACCATTACCAAAAAATTCATGTAAAATACAAGGTTCCACCAGACCCAGGATGGTGGGACCCTGTGCCTCTGATCACATGGGGAAAAGGATATGCTGCTGTGCTTACACCAACAGGTCCTGTATGCATTCCTGCTTGGTGCATGAGATCTGTCAATCATGATTTGGCATCAAGGATTTAATAATCTAATACCCAAGTTTCATTTGACCCTGGATGAGGAAGATTCTGCCAAACAAAAAGACAATCATTATCCTCAAAAGAGAAGAAACACTATACTCAGGAAACAGAGGGCATGGGGAGGCGGGTGTTCCCTGTCCTCCTTGGGCATCTTCCCACAGCCAGGAGAACCGGCGGCAACCTTTCAATCCTTCCGTGGAAACACGACATGCCATGCATATGCAAGGAGACAAAAGAGAGAGATGCCCATGAAAAAACCCATGACTGGACTACTCCGAAGCCTGCTGCTCCTCAGTAAACACTCAATAGGGACTGCAGCCTTTTCAGTTGCCTACGCCATGCCGGTCTTAGCGCAGTTCCCATGTGGCTCTTAAGCTGCCCAAGAAACACTTCCAGAAGCCACAGGAAACCCATCTGAGGCTCTCCGGCCCAAACTCTATGACCTAATCTGACCCTGACACCTTCCCTCCACAGGATGTCAGAGCATGGAAGGATGAACTTGAGACAGTACATCATCTGGAAACCTCCTGCCTTTCTGAGCCATTGCCACATGCATCTCAGAGCCCCACATGATATAGATTCCAACAGGAGCCCTGGCTCCCGCATTATGCTCCACTGGCTGACCGCACAACTTGTGCAGGAGAGGAGACCCTCAATGCCTGTCCAGCGACTATGAAAGGCACTTGGCAAGAGGTGAATTTCATCACTCTCTACTTCCTTCAGGCACAGGCAACAATCTTTACGAACGACCTTGGACCCAGTTAGGCCTTTCAACTACCCAAACCATTCACGGCTGTCCTATGCTCAAAAACTAGAAGCTGACGTCTTGGGTTCACATGCGCCTCCTACAAAAGAAGTCATCCCTGAGGACTGCCACCACATTGGCTCATTCGGGATACAAACTGCGTCTATGCTCTTTCAGAATGCACATCAACCACCATGCATGCAGCCTAACGGAAGGACCGAAAGCACACAACGATACTAAGGCTTTTTCCTGAAGCACTTCTGATGCTCCAACTCGAGAGCCAACCATCTATCAGGAGGATCCATTCCCAGAAGTGGCAACAAAAGTCACTGCTTGTGGTAAGACCCAGTTTCTCCATTTGCATTCCCTCAAATGTCCATCTACTCATCCAGGCACTGGTCCCTCTGAAGACCCACCGGTCCTTCCCCTGCTAGCCAATAGCTCTTAAATCGTTGTGCGAAAATACCACTGGCACAACTGTAGCATTTCCAGGAAAAGGGAAAACCTACCAGACTCCAGTAAACACCACGCCCCTGTACACTAAAAAAGGGTCTTGCCATGCTTTGCGCTCATCCTTCCTCTGCTGTCTGCTCAACGGGGACCAGAGTGTCTCTGTAAGAACCCGCAGACCAGCATGGTGCTACTTGCATGGGCGAAACAACTCCAGTACACAAGAGGAGGAAACTTATTCTTATGCTGCCATGGACCAAAACCTCCTAGATAGGGCGAACCCTACTGCCAAACACGCACTAGGAAATCATTGTGTGCAGGCCACTGTCTTACTCAACATCCTGAGCCCTGGATCACCCATGCATGCAGAAACCAAACGAGGACTGACAACAGAGAACTACAGGCTGGAAGCCCTAATACCAAGTGAACTAGGCTGAAAAGGATCCATAAACACAGCCCCGATCAGGAAAGGGGCACAGGATTCTCCCCTCCACCACCCGCCTCACTGCTGCCTGCTATGTCTACGTGATGGACCTCAGATTCGATGAGAATGATGTATAGATTTTCAACTCATTTTGTTCAGCTTCCAAAGAATGTTTTTGTGAAAGTCATCATCAATCCACGCTTATGACCCTCACCTGGAAAGGAGCAACCTCGAGGACTATGGCAGAGGAGACGCTTACCATCGGAAGCCATGCAGGGCGACACACAGGAAACAGAGGGCATGGGGATGCAGGTGTTCCCCATCCTCCTTGGGCATGTTCACATGGACAGGGGAACCGGCCAGAACCTTTCAATGCGTCTGTAGAAACACGACCTGCCAAACATATGGAAGGAGACAGAAGAGAGAGATGTGCATGAAAAAAGCCACGACTGGCCTGCTCCGCAGCCTGCTGCTCCTCAGTACACACTCGTTAGGGACTGCAGCCTTTTCAGTTGCCTACGCCATGCCGGCCTTAGCTCAGTTCCCATGTGGCTCTTAAGCTGCCCAGGAAACTCTTCCAGCCACAGGAAACCCATCTGAGAATCTCCATCCAACTCTACAACCCAATCTGACCCTGACACCTTCCCTCCACAGGATGTCCAAGCATGGAAGGACGAACTTGAGAAAGTACGTCCTCTAGAAACATCCTGCATTTCTGAGCCATCGCCACATGCATCTCAGAGCCGCATTTGACGTAGATTCCAATAGGAGCCCTAGCTGCCCCGATACGCTCCACTGGTAGAACCCAACAACTTGTGCAGGAGAGGAGACCCTCAACACCAGTCCTGCGCCTATGAAAAGTTCTTGGCAAAGAGGTGAATTTCATCACACTCTACTTCCTTGAGACACAGGCAACAATCCTTACGCACTACTTTGGCACTCAGGTAGGCCTTTCACTACCCAAACCATAACGGCAGTCCTAATCTCAACAACTAGAAGTTTACTTCTCGGGTTCACATGCGCCTCCTACAAAAGAAGTCATCCCTGAGGTCTGCCACCACATTGGTTCATTCGGGATCCAAACTGCATATATGCTCTTCCAGAATGCACATCAACGACATTGCATGCAGCCTCACGAGCAGACGAAAAGCACACAATGATGCTCAGGCTTTTTCCTGAAGCACTTCTTTTTTTTTATTAGTTGCTCAAAAACATTACAATGATCTTGACATATCATACATTTGATTCAAGTGGGGTATGAATTCTTTTTTTCCATGTGTACAGATTGCAGTATCACAGTGGTTTTACAGCCACGTTTATACATACAGCCATATTAGTGTCTATTGTATTCTGCTACCCTTCCTATTCCTCCCTCCCCTCCATTCCCCTCCCATCACCTCTCTCTACCCACTCTATGACACTTTTCTCTCTCTCTCTCTCTCTCTCTCTCTCTCTCTCTCTCTCTTTTTCTTCCTCACACCATCTTATATGTAGTTTTGCATAACAGAGGGGGTCTCCTTCCATCTTCCGTGCGATTCCCCTTCTCTCTCCCATTCCCATGCATCTCTCATCCCTATTTAAGGGTAATCTTCTTCTCATACTCTTCCGCCCTGCTCTGTTTTGAGTCCCCCCCCCCCCCTTATATCAAAGAAGACATTTGGCACTTGCTCCTTAGGGATTGGCTAGCTTTACTCAGCATAATCTGCTCTAATGCCAAACATTTCCCTGAAAATGCCATGATTTTGTTATTTTTTAGTGCTAAATAATATTCCATTGTGTATAAATTCCACATTTTTTTATCCATTCATCTATTGAAGGGCATCTGGGTTGGTTCCACAGTCACGCTATTGTGAATTGTGCTGCTATGAACATTGATGTAGCTGTGTCCCTGTAATATGCTCTTTTAAGGTCTTTTGGGAATAGTCCGAGAAGGGGAGTAGCTGGGTCAAAAGGTGGTTCCATTCCCAGCTTTCCAAGGAATCTCCATACTGCTTTCAAATTGGCTGCACCAATTTTCAGTCCCACCAGCAATGCACAAGTGTACCCTTTTCCCCACATCCTCGCTAGCACTTATTATTGTTTGACTTCATAATGTCTGCCATTCTTGCTGGAGTGAGATGGTTTCTTAGAGTTGTTTGAATTTGCATTTCTCTGATTGCTAGAGATGGTGAGCATTTTTTCGTGTATTTCTTGATTGTATATCCTCCTCTGAGAAGTGTCTTTCAGATCTTTGGCACATTTATTGATTGGGTTATTTGTTTTCTTGTTGTTTAATTTTTTGAGTTCTTTGTATACTCTGGATATTAAAGCTCTATCTGAATTGTGAGGGATAAATATATGTTCCCAGGATGTAGGCTCCCTATTTATCTCTCTTATTGTTTCTCTTGCTGAGAAAAAACTTTTTAGTTTTAGTATGTCCCATTTGTTGATTCTTGATTTTAACTCTTGTGCTATAGGTGACCTATTAAGGAATTTGGAACCTGACCACACAAGATGGAGATTAGAGCCAACATTTTCTTCTATCAGATGCAGAGTTTCTGGTTTCATCCCTAGATCCTTGATCCATTTTGAGTTAATTTTTGTGCATGGGGAGAGAAAGGGATTCGAAAGAAATTAAAGGCATAACGATAGGAAAATAAGAACTTACATTAGCACTATTTGCGAAAGACGTGATCCTATACCTAGAGGATCCAAAAGGTTCTACCAAGAAACTTCTAGAGCTAGTAAATGAATTTAGCAAAGAGGCAGGATATAAAAACAACACGCATAAATCAAAGGTGTTCCTGTATATCAGTGACAAATCCTCTGAAATGGAAATGAGAACAACCACCTCAGTCACAATATCCTCAAAAAAAAAAAATACTTGGGAATTATGCTAACAAAAGAGGTGAAAGAACTATACAAAGAAAACTCCAAAACACTAAAGAGAGAAATAGAAGAAGACCTTAGAAGATAAAAAGATATACCTTGTTCATGGATAGGAAGAACTAACATCATTAAAATGGTCATATTATCAAAAGTACGCTATAGGTTTAATGCAATCCCAATCAAAAATCCAATCTCATTCCTCGCAGAAGCAGAAAAAGCAATCATGAAATTCATATGGCAAAATAAAAGACACAGAATAGCTAAAGCAATTCTAAGCAGGAAGACTGAAACTTAGGTATAGCGATACCAGACTTCAAACTATACAAGAGAGCAATTAGAAACAAAACAGCATGGTACTGGTACCAAACAAGACAGGTAGACCAATGGTACAGAATTGAGGACACAAAGATCAATCCACAAAATTACAACTAACTTATATTAGACAAACGCGCTAAGAGCATGCAATTGAGAAAAAATAGCATATTCAACAAATGGTGCTGAGAAACTGGAAATCCATATGCAACAAAATGAAACTGAATCCAAAAGCACTACTGATGCGCCAAATCGAGAGCTAACAATCAATCAGGAGGATCCATTCCAAGAAGTGGCACCAAAAGGCCCCTCTTGTGATGAGACCCGGTTTCTACATTTGCATTCCCTCAAATGTCCATCTACTTATCCAGACACTGGTGCCTCTGGAGACCCACGCTTCCTTAAACTGATGGACCACCCCTCCTGCCAATATTGTGTGGCAATACCACTGGCAACACTGTAGCATTTCCAGGAAAAGAGAAAACCCACCAGACTCCCGGAAACACCACGCCCCTGTGCACTAAAGAAGGGTCTCCCATGCTTTGCGCTGGATCTGCCTCCGCCTTCCAATGAAAGTGGACCTCAATTTTGTCTGGAAAACGAAACAGACCAGCATGGTGATATTTGCGTTGGCAAATACGTCCTCAGTCCACAGAAGGAGGAAACTTATTCCCGTGTGCCATGGCCTAGAACCTCCGATTACGACTGAACCCTACTTCCAAAAAACTACTAGGAAATCATCCCACGAAGTCCAATGTCTTCCTCAACGTCCTGAGCTTTGGATCACCCATGCATGCCGAAACCAAACAAGGTATGACACTCAGAGGACTACAGGCACCGAACCTTAACGTCAAGT